TCATGCAGCCATACATCCTAGAAAGAGGCTTGAGGTAGAGAGGAAAAAACAGTTGAACTAGTTTAGTTAATTTAATGAAGTTTAATTTTCATTTTTGAGTGACAAAATATGAAAATACAAAAAAAAATATTAAAAGGGTGGAGTTGAGCTAGCTAATAGACTCATTGCATTCTGATATTAAACATACTATTAATGTATACCTGTAACAATTATTCAATCATTGTCATTTTAAAAGTTAGATAAATAAAACTTCTACTTCAAATATCTGGATGAACAAATATGTGTTTTTTCCTTCTTTTTCTCCTAAGATACATTAAAATTATAAAAATAAATAGAAATGTCAGTGAAATTCCTGGAACTAATGAGAAGTTATAGCAAGGTTGCAGGACACAAGGTAAATGTGCAAAAGGCTGTTGCTTTTTTTTTTATAAAACAGCAATGAACAAGTAGAATTTGACATTAAAAGCACAATACCATTTACTACCACCTAAAAATAAAATATTAGGTATGAATCTAACAAAATATGTACAAGATCTATATGAGAAAAACTACAAAATTCTGTCAAATGAAATAAAATAACTGATAAATGAAGAGATTTCCCATGTTCAAGAATAGGAAAATTCAACAGCGTTAAAGTATCAGTTCTTCTCAATTTGACCCATAGATCTAACAAAATCCCATTCAAAATCCCAGCAAGTTATTTTTTGAATATTGACAAACTGACACTAAAGCTCATATAGAAAGCAAAGCAAACCAGAATAGTCAACACAATATTGAAAAAAAAAATGACAAAGTTAGAGGATTGACACTACCTGATTTCAATACCCACTCTAAAGCTATAGTAATCAAGACAGTGTAGTATTTGTGAAACAATAGGCAGATCAATGGAACAGAATAGAGAGCTTAGAAATAGACGCACATAAATACAGTCAACTGATCTTTGATACAAGGACCAAGGCAACACAATGGGAAAAGACAGTCTTTACAACAAACGATGACTGTAGTTAATAAAAATGCATTATATACTTCAAAATTGCTGGCAAATTAGATCACAAATGTCCCCCCCACAAAAAATGATAAGTATGTGAGATGATAGATCTGTTAATTGGCTTGATTTAATCATTTCACCATGTATACAGGTATCAAAATATCACATTGTACACTGCAAAAATATATAAATTTAATTTGTCAATTATGCTTTAATAAAGCTGGGGGAAGAATGGCACTGGACATCCAAATGCAAAAGAAATAAATAAATGTAAACATATACTTTTCTCCCTTTACAAAAATTCACTCAAAATAGACATAGATCTAAATGTATTATAAAATGCAAAGCTATAAAACTCCTAGAAGGTGACATTGGAGAAAATCTACCTGTCTATTCAGTATGACAATAACTTTTTAGATACAACAACAAAGGCACAATCCATGAAAGAGCTAATTGATAAGATGCACATAATTAAAACTGAAAACTTCTGTTCTGCAAAAGACATTGTCAAGAGAATGAAAATACAAGAAGTGAACTGGGAGAAAATATTTGCAAAAGATATATCTGACAAATGATTATTATCCAAAGTGCAAGACTAATTCTTAAAACTCAACAAGGAGAATACAAACAACCAAATTTTTAAAATGGGAAAATGGCCTGAACAGACACCACATCAAAGAAAATATACAGATGCAAAATAAGCACATGAAAAGATGCTCAACATCATGTGTCATTATAGAACTGCAAATCAAAACAATGATACATCACTATTCAAAATACCATGAATCCAAAACACTGGAAACACCAATGCTGGCAATAATGTAAAACAATAGAAACTTTCATTTATTGGTGATGAGAATGCAAAATGAACAACCTCTTTGAAAGACAAAAATGAACATATTCTTACCATATAATCCAATAGTCGCACTCCTTGGTATTTATCCAAAGGGGGTGAAAACTTATGTCCACACAAAAACTTGCACATGGATGTGCAACTTTATTCATGATTGCCAAAACTTGAAAGTAACCAAGATGTCCTTCAGTAGGTGAATGGATAAAGTGTGGTATATACAACTCTGGAATAATATTCAGCATGATAGGGAAATGAGCTATCAAGTCACATAAGAAGTCAATCAAAAGGATCTACATACTGTTTTAAACTAATAATGTGACATTTCTCTATGGAAAGACATATCTAAAGAGACAGTAGAAAGTGATTATCAAGGGTTGGCAGGAAGAGAAGGATGAATAGAGTACAGAGAGAATTTTTGGAGCAGCAAAACTATTCTGTATGATGCTATAGTAGTGGATACATGTCACTATGCATTTGTCAAAACTCATAGAATGTATGATGCCAGGAGTGAACCCTAATGTAAACTATGGACTCTGGGTAATTAGGAGATGTGAATATGGGTTCATTGTAACAAATGTACCGGTCTAGTGGGGTATGTTGAGAGTGGGGGAAGCAGTGTGTGGGGAAGGACAGATGATATATTTTAAACAGGAACTCTCTATACTTTCTGCTCAATTTGTTGGGAAACTAAAACTACTCTATAAAATAAAATCTATTTAAAATAAGAAATACTTCTATGCTTCTTATGGAACCAGAGAAGACTCCATATAGCTAAAGCAATCTTAAGCAAAAGGAACAAATTAGGAGGTATCAACTTACCAGACTTCAAACTATACTACAAGGCTATAGAAACCAAAACAGCATGGTACTATCCCAGGAAGAGAGACATAAACCATGGAATAGGACTTAGAACCCAGGTATAAAAACATCCTCATATGGCCATCTGTTCTTTGACAAAGCAGACAAAAACATTCACTGGGGAAAGAATCCCTCTTCAATAAATGGTGTGCAGAAAATTGGATAACCAGATGAAGAAGTCTGAAACAGGATTCACACCTTCTATCTCTCACAAAAAATCAACTGTCAATGGATAACAGACTTAAGCCTAAGACATGAAACCATAAGAATTCTAGAAGAAAATGTTGAAAAAACTCTTATATACATTGGCTTAGACAAAGAATTTATGAAGAAGATGCCAAAAGCAATAAAAGCATCAACAACAACAACAACAAAATAAATGGGACCAGATCTAATTAAAAAAACTTCTGCACAGCCAAAGAAACCATCACTAGAGTGAATAGACAACCTACAGAATGGGAGAAAATATTTACATGCTATACATCAGATAAAGGGCTAATAACTAGAAGCTGTATAGAACTCAGGACAATCAGAAAGTAAAAATCAAACTACCCCATTAAAAAGTGTGCAAAGGACATGAACAGAAACTTTTCAAAAGAAGACAGACTAATGACCAAAAAACATGAAAAAATGCTTAACATCTCTAATCATCAGGGAAATACAAATCAAAATCGCAATGAGATATCACTTAACTCCAGCGAGGATGGCTTTTATCAAAAAGTCACAAAGCAACAAATGTTGTTATGGATGCAGAGAGACAGGAGTACTGATACACTGCTGGTGGGACTGCAAACTAGTACAACCTCTATGGAAAGAAGTATGAAGATACTTCAAAGACCTAAAAGTAGAACTACCACTTGATCTAGCAATCCCACTACTGGGTATCTATGCAAAGGAAAAAAAGACATTCTATATAAAAGACATCTGCACTTGAATATAAACTATAGCAGCACAATCACAATTGCAAAGATGTGGAAACAACCCAAGTGCCCATGAACACATGAATGGATTAACAAAATGTGCTATATGTATACTATGAAGTACTATTCAGCCATAAAAAAAAAAATGATGAACCTGGATAGAGCTGGAGCCCATTCTTCTAACTGAAGTATCACAAGAATGGAAAAATATACACCACATGTACTCATCATTAAATTGGTACCAATTGATCAACAAGTGGTGCACATATGAGAAGTAACATTCATAGGCTGTTGGGCAGGTGAGAAGAGGGGAGGTGAGGAGAGGATTGGTAAACCCACACCTAACGGATGCAGTACATGCTCTCTGGGGAATTATTGTGCTTGTCAGGAGGTGCAAAGGGCATTTATGCAATCAAAGTATTTGTAACCCCATAATACTCTGAAAAAAATAGAAATGAAATGAACACTTAAATTGGACGAAGTCCATAGGAAGCAAAATATTTAAGCAAATTCCTAGGTGATGAAGAGAGGATGGAAAAACGTGGTGAATTAAAAGAGCAGAGATAATAGGTAACTACATATGAGTAGGGGCCCAAAGTGGAATAATGAGCAGTTTTGTTGAGGAAGCTACTAAAGAGAGTGGTGCAAATATATTACATGACATAGCAATAAAAGTACATAAAATATTTTTACAAGGTAAAAAGTTCACTTGAACCCTTGAGATATCCTAACATATAGCTTTGCCCATTTGTTGTGTTATCTTATTGAATTATGTTTCAGAAGTTACTCATTTCAATTGAAATTATAGAGAACTTAATAGAACACATAATTTAAACAACAGTGAAGTTCTTTTTGGATTTGAAATATTAGGATATATAATGATGTAGTGTGCCATTTAGGAGTGCAAGTTCTAGACTCAGATGGGCATGGGCTCAAATCTAATCCTACCGCTCAACAGCTAAGGATCACTGAGAAGTTGACAAACTTCCAAAGCCTCAGTTTCTCTACCCATGAAGCTGAGGTGAGAATGGTTGCTACTTTATAGAGTATCTGTCCCATATAAAGGGATAATAAAAGTAAAGCCCCATGTTAAAACAATATCTGGTACATAGTAAGCATTAAATAAATGTTAACTTTCTCTTTATTTATTATTTATATGTAGGGTCAACATTTGTTTCTTCTTCTTTTGGGAGTTGTGGATGGCAACTGGAATTTCAGACCAAAGAGAACTCAGAAAGGAGAGAGCAGTGCTTAGCCTGTTTTATATAATTCTGCCTTTTTCTGATAAGCAGTATGCCAGAGAACGAATCCCAGATTCTATCCTCTTGTGACAAAAGAAAGGAATAAAATCCAGATTAGACATTCTATAATACTGAGTGTATGCAAAGAAAGGCCAGGTAAAAGCACAACAGGGTGAGTTTTCTTTCTTCCTTTATTGCTGCAGGCTGTGTTATAGACTTTATTTATTCTGGTTCTTATGGATTGCTGTTATGTAAATACATGAAATAGAGAGAAGGTCTGAGTGTTTCAACACAGATAAATTTATATTGTCAGTGTTAGGTGATGCCACTCCACCATTTCCCTCAAATTGAAGGTAATGCTTTACAAGAAGATTATGTAAATGAAACTTCTCCACAAGGTACGAAAATGGGGTTTCTTTAGGGGAAGATTTTGGTTTATTCAAATCAAGTTTATAATAGCCCCCGGGAAAAGACTCAAAGCTAAAATTCTTTCAAAAATAGCTACCATATCTTGAAACTAATCATCTTTTTTCACTCAGATGATTATTTTCTGCCATCTAAGACATATTATGCTATATGATAAGCATTTAAAATTAGTTCAATTGTATGAAAATAGTGAATGTATGTATGCTTTACGTTTATAAAATATCCATAGTTATCAAATTTAATATTTGATGCCAAAATACTTACAAGCCTTACTTCCTTGTTTCAAAAAGAGGCTCTTAAAATGAGACAAACTAATTAGGTACTATAAGTACAGCAGTGATTTTTAAGAGTTCCTGAAGCTGTTCTGCATGGAACAAAAAGCCAAAGAATACTAACACAAAAAAGAAGAGAAAAGAAGAAAAAAGGGGGACATCTCAAGGCAGCAGAGGTAGAAAGATATGTGGGACTTTGCTATGTAGAAATACAAACACAGGCAATAAAAAAATAAAAATTAAGCCCATGTTAGGCCTATTTGACTAAGAAAATGGACTTTTATGAGACTGTCTCAAAGTAGCAGGTCAAGCTGCTATTACCTTGTGAGTTGTTATTAAGTACTAAAGTGGAAAAAAATATATCAAATTATTCTTTATGCAGTGTTACATGTAGTGGTATGTTTTCACTGCCCTTTCTAGGTTATACATCTTTCTTAAATCTATAAAACCACACAACACTCCTTAAAGTTTCTACTTGATTCAACTTTTAGAAAACTTCTCTGAGGCCACTTGTGTCTGTTTACTTCAGATATCCTTGCACTTGTTTGTATTATACCTTAACATGTCAATAATAGGATATACATGTCTGTATCATTTATGTTTGCAGATATTTATTTGTGCTGGAGCTAACTTCCACATTTACATGGTCCTTGTGGGCAGGAAATATATCTTCTGCTTTATTTTAAATTCCTATGTAACTTTAGTATGAGCACTTAGTAGGCTACTAAGATATATTTTGCTATATTTTTGTATAGTGGTATTATACCAGAGTAAAATTAAGATTTACATCACAGTTTTAGGATTTTAGGGGAAAAAGCTTTATTCCAGAGTCATCCTCATTTACAATGAAATATAAAGGTGTCCCCAAATAGGTGACTAACATAAGAATTATATAATAAATATTTCTCTAGAGGAGATAGATGTGGAGACAGGTGGGGATTGTTGAGATCCACTCAAAAACATCTTACACACATTTCTTCCACCACTATTATTTACAGATTTGTTCAACAAACATTTATTGAGCATCTGTGCTTCACTTGAGACACATTGATGGACAAGTAAAGTTTTTCTGTCCTAGAGGGGATGACAATTCAATAAGACCAAGAAGGCTATGAGTAAATAATGGTAAGAATTCAGCAAAACAGTGGATGTTCCCAGGGTGCTATGGGAAGAGAGAAGAGAAACATATGGCGAAGTCTCTTTGTCATTCATCAAAATTTTGTTGAGCTAATATGTTCAGGGTACTTGGACTGATGGCTGGGGTTCAATAATGAACACATCTTCATGGAGTATATATTCTAGTGAATGATAACAGTAAGTAAAGAAAGTGATGTGTATAATGGAAAAGTTTTCTGCCTAAGTTTAGTACAGTAAGACCAAGAACCTGCCTCAGCACGGAGTCTGTCTCATCTACTTGCTCATCTACTGCTGTCTTATCTACCATTGCTGTTTCAATGTGAGGTAAACTAACAAACTCCCCAATACCTCAGTTTCCTTATCTGTCAAGTGGGGATAATAATCATGTTTATCTTATAGCATTATTGTGAGGATTAAATATTTTAATATAGGTAAAGAACTCAGAATAGTGTCTGGCATATATCAGATACTTAACATGTTTGACGCTGTTGTCATACTATGAAACCACATTGCAGGGATCAAATCAAGATGTTCATACTCAAGAAGACCTCTGTGAGAAAGTAGTATCTATCATGAAAATGGAAATATCCTAAAGAAAAGCTGGTGGAAGTTTAGAAGGTGGTTTGAAGGAGGAAGGGAGGAAAGATCAGACTGAAGGGTTCATGAAAAAGTCCAGAGATGGAAAGGATCATGACATTTTAAGGAACTGAAATTACTTTGATATTTTGGAGGAGGTGTTATGCAAAGACTGGAGGGAGCTGAAAATTTGGGGAAAAATCAAAGGCAGGCATGCAGTATCAAGAAGTGGTGCCAAACTAAATTTACGAGAATCAGCAATAATTAAATGGGTCAAAGCATAAAGCTAGGAACCATAGTCTTGGAAACGCGTGTGGTATAAAGAAAGGCAGGGGTTGTACATTACTGCAGGGTGGCCCGTGAGCTCCACACATTTTGGTTTTACCAACACATAAAGTGTGAGAAAGGAGTAAAGGGAGATGAAGTGGTAGAGTCATGTAAAGACCAAGTTTCAGAAAAGGACCAGACTAGAGATAATATTAGCTGCTGTGAAATGCCTCTTGGGAATTATTCTGTGAATAATGGGAAAAACTGAAGGATTACCCTATGAGTGATAAAGAATAACAAAGGATTTTTAACAGCAGATGTGGCAGTTTTTCTTCAATGTAAAGAATGGATTTAAGGCCGGGCGCGGTGGCTCACGCCTATAATCCTAGCACTCTGGGAGGCCGAGGCGGGCAGATTGCTCGAGGTCAGGAGTTCAAAACCAGCCTGAGCAAGAGCAAGACCCTGTCTCTATTATAAATAGAAAGAAATTAATTGGCCAACTAATATATATACAAAAAATGAGCCGGGCATGGTGGCACATGCCTGTAGTCCCAGCTACTCGGGAGGCTGAGGCAGCAGGATCGCTTGAGCCCAGGAGTTTGAGGTTGCTGTGAGCTAGGCTGACCCCATAGCACTCACTCTAGCCTGGGCAACAAAGTAAAACTCTGTCTCACCAAAAAAAAAAAAAAAAAAAAGAATGGATTTAAGTAGCATGGCCTCATAAAGAAGCCATTAAAATAGTACAGGTAAAAGCCTAAAGAAGCTTTACATTAAAGTAGATGTAGTAGGTATCAGTAAGTGAGAATATATTTAAGAAATATTGAGAATTAATACTTGATAATAGCATTGTTGGAGGTATTATAGTGAAATAACTGATATGCTTCAAAGTTTTGTGAAGGAAAAGGGGAGGTAAATAGGTGAATGTAGACATAAATGATATTTATACATGATGAATTTGGTGGTGGTGCATCTAAATAATGTGTTATGCAGATAGGTGTCATATAAGCCAGCAGAGGGTATATCAGAATAGAAATATCAATGTTCAATCAATATAATTTATATTTTGTGAAAACCCTGAGAGTAGTTGAGATCACATTTGGCCAATATTCAGAGGGAATAAATACCAGAAAAGCAAGTTTAAAATTTTGGAGAATATTGATATGCCAAATCTGGACCTTCAAAAAAGGTGATCAATAAATTGTCCTAGCAGCATTCAGAGACTTGAGAGACACTCGTCATACAGAATCATGTAAGGGGTATACTTATAAGAAAGAGAAACACTAATTAGCAAAGTGGAGTTAGGCAAAGGGTGGTGAAACAAAAACTCTTGACATTATAGAAGTATCAGTGACTTTGAAAGCATAATTTATTAGTATGATGAAAGAGAAACAAACAAGACCACAGTGGTCTGAGAAATGAATGGAGTGTGGATCAGTGAGAAAAGGATTGTAGATGTGAGGGATGAAAGATGAAGGGAGAGGTATTTTTATTGTTAGAGATGTGCTTGCATTTATTTCGCTTAAAGAGAAAGCGTGAGCAGAGAAATCAAAGTCTAGAACTTCACAATGGCCACAGATGAAGAGAAGAAAGGTGATGGAGAAAGAGTGAAGGGAATAAGATCAAGTGCACCTGTGGAAAAGCTCGCTTTCAAAAATAGGAGGGAAATAATTTTCTAATACTAAAAATAGAGTTGAGATGAAGAGAAAGCTTTTGTTTTTCTTATTCAAAGGGGACAGCATAGCCAGTACAACCTCTAGCACAACCTCTTTCCATTTCTCCATTTCTTCCTGATTGAACGTTAAGACAAAGTCCAGGGATGGAGCTGCTTTCTTGCAGCCATGGGAAAAATCCAAAAGAATTTTTTAAAATGTTGACCATGATGCCAATGGGTTCTTGGACCATTTCTAGCAGGTTCCTCCCCCCAAGGTCATAATAATTAAAATTTTTAAAAGTTTTCACTTATGTCATTTTATATCAAATTTTATATTACTGATAGCCATATTAACCCCAAATGTTACATTTTTTAAAATATTGGTATATAGATATATTTAGTTACCAATAAATTGTTATATTGTTATATGATTGAATATTTTTAAAATGTAATAATAAAACATTTATGAGAATTTTTTATGACTTGGCAAATTGCTTAAGCTGTAATATGAAGCTATAAAACGTAAAATAAACAGTAATTCAAAATATATAATATAATCTACAAATGCAAGGGAAAAAAGCAGCTATTAATGTATCAAAATTTTAACAATTGATGTGTATATGTAGTGAAATTACGGATGGCCATTATTTTTTCTTTAAATTTTGCCATATAATCCAAATGAACATGTGTTATATTTAAAATCAGACAGAATACATGTTTAACACTGAAAATACACTTATACATAAATAAATGATTCATAACATTGCACAAGTGATAAATACACCACAACTTGCTAAAATATTAATTCTCCAGGGATTTGTGCTACATTTTTCAGAGCTTTCATATTTTTCAGGGCAAAACTTGAAGAGAAATAACTAATTTCCCCATCCCCTGGAGCAGCTCTAACTTCAGATATCAATTCATTGACAATCTGGTCAGATCATTTATTATATCACAGTTTGCTGGCCAGAGACTTCCCTTTGCCAAGGAATTTTGGCAGGTCAACTGGCCCAATAAACAACATACTGTATTGTGTCTTGAAAAGATGGAAACCACCTTGTTTTTCTGTAGTCAAATGTTAAGTCTTAGAAAACCTCAGAATGGCAAAAATAGTTAAATTTAAGGTTTTCCATGTATGGCAAGTAGATTTTGTTTATTCCCCTTTCTTCTACTTTAGCATTTGATAAATATGATGAAGACAAAGAAAGACATTCTGGATTGTATCCAATCTCAACTTTGGGTAGAGAATGAATACTGATTAAAACATTTCAATAGACATTTCCATCCTGTCTTCTGCTGCCCAGCTTGGGACATAAATGTGGAATTATTACTGTTAAGTCAATTATCATATTAAGTCACAAAATTTGCATGACACTATACATTTCAGACATGTTATTGATTGTACTCTATGTATCTATATATACACAATAAAATGCATGTTATTTAAATACATTCAAACTACTCAATATAATCCCCAAGCATACATTAAACAAGTCAAAACTATACAAAATCTGGAAAAAAAATCTTCAACCAATGTGAAACAGCTATGGTTTTTTTTTCTCTTTTTATTTTTTTACTATACTACATGCAAAATGTGTAAATATACAGGATATAAATTTCATGTAAATCTGAGCTAAAATAAACCTAATAGCATAATATCATGACAAAATAGAGATGTTTTCTCTTTTCTAATTGCAAATGCCAAATAAGCAATTTTCATTTTAAACTTTACAGATCATTTGTTACTTTCAACAAGATAGCTTTTTCTCAATTACTAGAGTCTTACCAGAGTTTGAGATCAATACATCACATAGTGGAAAAACTTTCCAGGTTATTCAGAATAAATTTTTGTTTCCACTCATCCTATTTATTATAGCTGAAATCAGTACCTCATTTATTCTTTTACAGGCTTTGGCTTTCAAATAATGCATTCTCCAAATAAAGACCAAAAGGAAAGACTGACCAAAAAGTTGAATTCTGTCCTAAATGTTCTACTTTAACTTTACATAGAAGATTGTGTTTATCTAGAATAGTTTAAAGCAATTGATGGCAGAAAAGTTTTAAATTCAATAAAATGTGTCTACCAAGCCTCTTCTTCCTCTTTTTAGCATGTTCATATCCACCTCTAAGTTAATATGGCCTGATGCTTCCACACAGGTCCCTGGCTTCCCATGAATACCCTTCTTCCGGATGGATGCCCCATCTTACTTGGGGGGTAGGGGGAGAGAGGAGGAAAAGGGTAGGACTCATCTTGAACTGCAATCATACCATTTTTTTTTACTAAAATGTATATTTATTTAATTCATCTGCTCATGAAAATGCTCTCTTTTACCTTCCAAGGTGGACAACAAATCCATAGAGTTAGAAAAAGCAGGGAGAATCCTTGCCACATAGGAGAATTTCTTTCATTACCAAAACAAATATAAGGTATACATTGTGTTCTGGGTCTTCTAGAAGTGATTCTTCTTTTGCTTTGATCTAATCCACATAGTTTCTAGAAATAACATTTCCAAGGAAATGGAAAGATCAATGTGATGACACTTGCCCAGAACCATATTTACGGTATTCTTTAAAAGACATGATGTTGTTTTACTACCAGTCGTTCACATATTGAGTAAATTCTGTCCTGAGAGTCAGGGTTCAAGCTTTTATTTCAGAGGTGGCCAAACAATGACTCATGGAAACAATTGGCCAAGCAAATCCAGCCTACCTCACGTTTAAGTACAGCCTGTAAGCTAAAAGTGATTTTCACATTTTTAAAAGGTTTTTAGAAATAAATAGCAGTATAATGTTTCATGATATGTGAGAATACATAAAATTCATATTTTAATGTCTAAAGTAGAGTTTTATTGGAGCATAGCTAAACTCATTCATTTATGCATTGTCTATGGCTTTTTTCATGCTAATAGCTAACTTGAGCAGTTGTGACAGAGATGGTATGCCCCACAATGCCTAAACTGCTTACACTCTGGTTCTTCTCAGAAAAGTTTGCCAACGCCTGGTTTACAGCTATAATGCTTTCATTAGTCACATCTTCACCTCATTCCCTGGAGAAATTAAGATGATCTGCACAAATTCCCTAATGGTATACTAGCTTCAAACAGAAATGCCTTCAGATAAGTTTTGGATGCTGAAGTGACAGATAGAACTTCTGTGTTGATGAAGAAATAAACTTCTCCCTGAATATTTCTTGGCTGCTTATAATCCTTATGCTGATGGGGAATTGTTAACACTGGAATGAGTTTTAAAGTTTTGAAGAAATGTGGAAAATGATGTAATTTCAAGAATATTCTGACTACGTACATCGTTTGGTATTGTCTGAGCAGAGTAGGGCTGTTATAACAGAATACTATAACTGAGCAGCTTATCAACAGCAAATAAACACATTTATTTCTTACAGGTCTGGAGGTGAGGAAGTATAGGATCAAGAAGCTGGCAGATTTGGTATCTGGCAATGGCCTGTTTTCTGGTTCACAAATGCTGCATTCTCTCTGTGTTCTCACATGGTAGAAGGGCTAGCTAGCTCTCTGGGGCTTCTTTTATTAGGACTCTAACCCCATTCCTGAGGGTTTTGCCCTCCTGGCCTAATCACCTCCCAAATGTTCAACTCCTACTACCATCACCTTGGGGGTTAGATTTTTAACATATGGATTTTGGAGGGGAAACAAATATGCAGACCACAGCTGGTATGAGTACTTAGTTACAAACCTTCCCATAGACTGTATCACAATATATACAAAGCTCTTTGATTCATTAGAAGTAGATGAGCTTTTAGTTTTTATTTTTTTAAATGAAATTTTAAAGTTTATTCAAGGATCAGCAACAAAAGTAGAATAAAATAGTACTTAGTTTTGATGTCTGTACCATGAAAAAAAAATAAGTAAAACTAAAAACATCCCTGCCTACTTTCACTTCTATGTCAAATCTTTCTTCTCCAAGATTCTACATTTCCATCAACCATAACCCGATCTTGGTTAATCTTCCTTTTGTCAGGTGGTATCTCAAGCCAGGTATTATAATGGCCAGGTCAGCAATAACTAGCAACTTTTTGTTACAGCATCTTTTCTTGATATTACCTATTTTTCAACGTTAACTATAAGAATCTAAAACTTCTCTGGAAAAAAAAAATATATATAATATTCCATAATGATTTCAAGGATCATCCTGCCTTTAATTACCCCTATTTAGAGAAACAAACAAACCAAAAATGTAAATCCATTTTTTTAAATAAAAGCAAAACTCATAAAATAATCTCTTTTGAAGAAATGTATCTATTGATAGCCATCAAAGGAAAAGGTATTTTTATTTAGTTTAAACAGTTGTGTATGGCCGGGTGTGGTGGCTCACTCCTGTAATCCTAGCACTCTGGAAGGCAGAGGAGGGCGAATTGCTCAAGGTCAGGAGTTCAAAACCAGCCAGAGCAAGAGTGAGACCCCATCTCTACTATAAATAGAAATAAATTAATTGGTCAACTAATATATATAGAAAAAATGAGCCGGGCATGGTGGCACATGCCTGTAGTCCCAGCTACTCGGGAGGCTGAGACAGCAGGATTGGTTGAGCCCAGGAGTTTGAGGTTGCTGTGAGCTAGGCTGACGCCACGGCACTCACTCTAGCCTGGGCAACAAAGCGAGGATCTGTCTCAAAAAAAAAAAAAAAATTAAAAATTAAAAATAAACAGTTGTGTATTTGAGTACATCTGTAAGAAAAGAATCAGAAATTATATGAAGTCCATTTTGCAAACTGTGGTAAACCTCTGTCTGACACAGTGTATTAGCTTTACCACTATGTTTTACCAAATTCACATTTTAAAGAATAGACATCTTTTCCTGCTAAAAAGAAAGCTATAAAACCCAATGATTACACAGATTTATGTTTAAATATGAGAAATATAAAGTAATATCAAAAACAGCCTGATAAAAACTGATGTGTGGTTTAGAATTATAATGACTGCAATAAAGTTTTTGTGGTGTCAATTTACCTAGAGTAGATCCTACAGTATTTTGACATTTCCTCTTCTAGGTGATTTCTTAAAATTGCCAGCATATTATCAGGATTACATCTGAAGTGCCCATCATTTCATACGTCCTAATTTTTACCATAGGCTGACAAGATTCTATTACTGAATCAAAGTATGTTTCCATTTCAATATCTTCTTTTAGTAAAATTGAAACACAAGAAGAAAAGGATCTCACCACTATATTTAATATTTCCTAGAACTTTCTTCATCATGAAGAAGTAAGTATAAATATGGTAAAGCAGGATATTAAAGCTAAAATTAGCTTACAATATTTTGATTATATATTCACAGAATAAACTGAAAAGCTATTACACATTTGAGTAAAGTTTTGTAAAGTTTAGTGTGTGAAATAAAGATAATAGTATGATCAAATATGTAAATGAAACAAGAGAACCCATCTACAATAGGAATATTTTTTAATGAGAGCAAATTTAACAAAGAAAATGCAGAGTGAATATGAATAAAAGTATAAATTTTGCTGAAGGACAGTAAAGAAGACAAATTAAAAGAGGCAAACCTCTATTAAAAAGGATGACTCAATACTGTAAATGCATTAATTCAAATCAAATAAATATATACATATTATATGCATTTATAATAAAAACTTTAATAAGACCTTTTAAAATGTAAAATAATAATTTGAATGTCCATCTGGGATAGATAGTCAAAAGTGCACAAAAAAATGTTTGCTCAATCAATCAGCAAAGGACATTGCACCCTTAGTGTCCAGATCTTGATTTTTAAAATCTTCATCCAATAAAGGGAACCAGGTCTCCTTTGACAAGTGATTGAATCTAGGATTAAGGCAGAAGACATACAAGATCATTCTAGAGCATTTTTCAGTGCCGGAAAATAAGAACATGTTCAAAAAACCCACAATTGAATATATTCAAGGGATGAAGGATCCAACAGAAAGAGCTCCAATAGCCAAAGCTACAACAGTCTGATCAATGAAGTATATAAAGTAATATAAAATAAATTTTGTGAATCTAAACTCATACAAATAAATGATTAAATAAATAATAAATAAATGAGAGAGAATAGAGAAATCTCTTATGCAGAAGAATTCCAAATAATATAGTTAGATCCATCACCCTCAAGTAAGCAGAGTGTAACTTATTTTTTAAGTGTGGAATTCATATAGTGACTTTCTTTTAAAGAATATAGGACAGAAAGTGGAAAAAAGAGTAACTTTATAGTGGAGAAACCTGACCAACACTACCTTAGTCAAGTGATCAAGATTAACATCAACAGTGATAAATCATGTTGACAATATGTCCCCTCAACATGGTGTGATGAACAGGACACCTTTTCTTTTGTTGTGTTGCTTCCAAAAACCTGTACCCCAAGTCTAACATGAGGAAAACTTCAGAAAGTTTCAGTACAGGAGCAGTCTACAAGATATTTGACCAATACTTCTCAGAACCATTAAGGTAATCAAAACCAGGGAATTCTGAGAAACTTTTACAGCCAACAGCAGACTAAGGATATAAGATGATGAATTGTAATATAATATCCTGGAGGGATTCCTAGAACAGTGGAAGAACATATACTAGATAAAGACTAATGATATCTTAATCAAGTATGGAAGACTTTAGTTAATAATAATGTATCAATTAACTGTAACAACTCAATCATAATAGTGTAAACTATGAATAATAGGAAAACTAGTAGTAAGGTGTTTAGGAACCTTCTGCTTCATCTTCACAATCGTTCTGTAAATCTGAAACTATTCTAAAGTTTTTAAAATGTTTATTTAAAAAAGGGTATTTGAAATTCCAAATATTAAAGTCCAACACAGAGCTGTTATTATTTATAAGTCATGGTACTGGTACAAAGTTGGACAAGAAAAATCACTGCATACAACAAGTCTAGAAATACAGCTAAGGATTATATAGTTAGCTTATAAATTATTAATTAAACAAATATTTATTAAGAATCTTCTAATTTCTAGGTACCA